GCTATATTTTTTTTCTAAGCCAATATGCAGCTTATTTTAAAATGCATTAGGTTTGCTGGCAACAAGCTAAGACGGATAAGTATGCTGCTGGGATGAGGCTGATAAGCCTGCTGCTGCTTCTGGCGACGAGGCTTGCTGCTGTTGCTGATGACGAGGCTGATAAGCCAGTTGCTGGCGATGAGGTTGATAATCCTGCTGCGGCTGACGACGAGGTTTGATAAGTCTGCTGCTGCCGACGAGGCTGATAAGCCTGCTGGCGAGGGCACCCCACAAGTTTTGATAACTTTATTTTTGTAACCCAAATTTATGCATGCTTTGAGTGTAGGGATCCTTCAAATTTAATTTTGTAAAATTTTAATCTATCTTAGCTTCTGCTATATCGGCTCTCTGAACTAAACTACATATTGTTATAATAATAATCTACTATTAAGTTTTATTAATTAATTGGATGTATGTGCAGACAGCTGCTAGCAGGGAGAAGGAAGGCTGTGTTTTATTTGTCTTCAGCAACATACGGAGGGACTAACATTACATTACTAATTAATATAATTGAATTACTTGAATACTTTGAATTATAGAGGTAGTTTACAAATGAGTCTCATGAAGGTATTTATACTCATTTCACCTCCTAAATAGATGGTGGAGATCCACTAGATCCTATGGCTAAGAATCAATACCTAGAACCCTCCCTAAATCTCTACACAACTTAAGATTCTACAATGTTCTAAAAAATTTCATACATCTTTACAACTACTAGTGTTATATACATGCTTCTAAAAAATTCTATAAACTATGGGAAGCTATGAGAAATTCCAAGATGTTGCAAAAAGTAAGAAAATGTCGTAGTGAACGTTTATGTAGGCTAGAAAGAACAATTTTTCAGAAATGGAATATCTATGACGTGTACAAGACACCGCCTTAAAAACAATTTCTCAAAGACTATGCGCACAATTTAATCATAGGTGAACCCGACTTCAGATACTCAGACGAGAGAAGATGAGAGAAGAGAAGAAGAGAACAAATGAATATGTATATTGAGAGCACAAGAAAAAACGGATATTTATAATCTCTAAAATAACCATCTCCCCAATTAACTCAAATTCTTCTTCATTGGTGTACAAAGCATATATGTAGTGCATCTCCCTGTGTTTGTTGTGTATAGTATTTTCATTATATTCTCATGTTTCCTAGCTTGTTTGATTTATTACAAAAGATAGTGACACATTGCAGACTTGGGAGTTTTAACATATATGTGAGGAGTAAGAGTAAGACATTAGTAAATATATGTACCATTTTAAAAATTGAGGAACAACAGTGACACGTTACAGATTTAGGAGAGTTGTAACATATATGTGAAGGGTAAGACATTAGCAAATATATGTACCATTTTAAAAACTAGTAATTCACCCGCGCGATGCACGGGAAAAAAATTATGTTCTAATAAATATAAATAAAAAAATAAAAAAAATAAAAATATTTTAAATTATTTAATATAATAATATTTTTGAGCTTCCATTAGTCAAGTATTTATTATTTTTATAAAATACAAAATTAAAATTAAAATTTTATATGGTTAATATAATCTCTAATTATGTACATATTCAACTAAACTTATAAGAGAATTTACATAATTACATTGACTTATTCTTAATTGTATTTCATCTATATTATAATTTTCACAATACGAATAATAACTAAGATAATTACATTTAGAAAACAAATTTCAAATTTTGTAGGAGTAAATTTAAACTCTGAACACATTTTTTTATATGATTATATAATATATTCTTTATGCACATGTCATTCTATAAGCCCAAGACCACTTTTTGTGGAGATAATTCAAATAGATTTTTTTTTCTTTTAAAAGTCCTAAGTTTAGAAATCCAGAAAAACATTAAAGACCCATACGATATATACATTTATATATTTTAATTTTTATTGATGGCTCAAATGATTTTTTTTTTTTTTAAATTCTGAAGTTCAATAATTGACCCACGACCCGCAACATTTGTTTTCTTCATCCCTTCTCGCTTCTGCCATTTCTTTGAAGCATTTGAGAAGATAGAAAAATACACTCGACAATCTCTACATGTAGAAGGTGGTTCCTTAATGTCTGGCTCCATTTTTTTACCACTTTCCATGATTCTTCTCTTTTGTTTACTCTTTTTTTTTTGATAGGTGTGATTGTTAGAGCCTCCTCTACATTCTACCGTATTTTATCTCCTCCGCCGCCATGGCCATGAAAATACACAAATGGTAGGACAAATTGCTGCATTTTACGCTCACATGGATTTGATCTGTGGTGTTTTATAAGAGAAAAATTATATGTAGAGACTTGCATTAATTGCACTGTTTCGGATATCGAATAGGCTTTCATCGAAGATTTAATTAATATTGTAATCCCAACAAGCACCATAGATAACAAAAGCATATCAAATAAACTTTCATTGTAAAGCCAGAGATTTAATTAATATTGCATCGTTTCATATTTTCTATTAATCGGGAATCGAAATCCTTAATCATAATATCATAACAGTTAATAACTCCATTAATTCAATAAATGTAATCCTTTGTTATGAGCGAGAAAACAATAACTATTTTATTTTTCAAATGTTTTTTTTTTTTATTTTTTTTATAGTAAAGGATGTTGTGGCTATTTTATAATAATAACTTAATAAGGATAGAGATAATAATTGTAACATTAATTACTTCCCAAACCATATAGCTTTATTATAGTTAAGATTAAGGGACAACAGTTACATCACTAATAATTCAAAAGTTACATTGATAAATGTCCAATGCAATCTATTTATAACTACTTTCTCAACCTTTGAAACACAAAGAGACTTCAACTTGGTAATATTGAATCACAAGATCCTTAGTCTAGTTTTTAATATATATTAAGCCATATATCTTGAAAACAATTTAAAGATAATAAGAGAATAAATATAATTATTGCACCTGTTATGTTATTGCGGAACATAGACCACTATCTTGGTCTTTACAACGATACGCGCCTCAACGTCACAAGATTGACAGATCATATTGTCGAAGCAATAATACTTAATGGGGCACATGGAGGAAGTCTAGACATTAGCTATTAATTTGAGCAATTATTTGCTCAAATTCAAGCAATGATAACATTAATAAACATAAACGATCTAAATCATAATTTCAATTACACTATATAATATTTTATGTTATAATTTAAATAAGGGAAAATGGCACTTTCCCCCCTGAGTTAAATACTTATAAGAACTTTTCCCCCCTCAATTATTTAGGTAAGTACATTAGCCCCCTCAATTATTCTAAAAGTTGTGGTTTTTCCCCCTAATATATTAAATTGACACTTCTACCCTTAAAGTAAACATTTTATTTATTTTACTTCGCCAACAAATTATTGCGTATACGTAGGGATCACCACGCTTCGGTTTGAATTGAACCAGACACTATAACAATCGAATTAAAAGTTTTCGGCTATGATTCAGATCTAGAACCTAATATTTGGATTTCAATTTATTAAAATTATGAATCAAAAAAATTGGATCCTAAACCGTGAATCGGCGGTTCCGGATCTGATTCGTGATTTTGAACCGTCTTTATATTAAAATTTTATTTTTTATTTTAAAATAGTCTAATTTCAACAATAAATGTATTTTATTTTTTTTTTTCGGTTCAGAACATGAACTGTCCGTTCCAGTTCGCAATTTTGATAAACTCTAAATATCGAGTTTCGATTCTAAATTGTAATTGAAATATGTCGGTTTGGTTGCTATAGTGTTTGTTTGGTTTGAACCAAATTATGATCATAATTTGTTGGAGATAAAAAATAAATGAAATATTTATTTTAAGGGTAAATATGTCCATTTAACATTTCATGGGGGAAAACAGCCACTTGAATAATTAAGGAGGGAAAAGTGCTATACGTATATAACTCAGGGGGAAAAAGTGTCATTCTCCCTTTAAATAATTATATATTGATCTAAATATTCTTAATATATTATAACAAATCTATTCCGTGCATTGCACGTGTAAAAATACTAGTATAGCTTAAACTGCAATTGATATGGAATATACGAATACAATCGGACGTATCCAAGCGAGCTGAGACTCGTCAGAACGGACCATCTTCGATCACTGTTAACTACATCTTCCTATCAGGGTTCTCGATCTGAATGACTGCTCGGTAGACTCCACTTCAACCCACGTCACACTAACCGTTTTTTATTGGACTTAATCGAGAAATCCATTAATGTAACCGATCGCTAATTCTTTTGTCTCATAATTAATTCAAAGACACTTCCCAAACGTAACGATTAGTCATATCACTTCCCATCATTCCCCTTCAGTCTCATTTGAGCACTTGACATGATAATTATGACCGCATAACATACGCTTAACATGTGTAAGACATACCGACAGTTCGACATGTCTACATTGCCTCACATATAAAAGGCACATTAATTGCTAGAGGAGAGGACATTTTGACCTTTCTCCACTCTAAACATTTTTGACCATACCAATCTCATAACTAACTGGAGGAGTGGTTGTATTCATTCGGATTTAGTCACACAAGACTACAGAATTACTTTCTTGAATGTATTCATCCGGATTTAGTATTTGTGACATTACTAATATATCTAAAAAAGTAAGCACTGAGAGGTAAAAAACAAAGCTAATCAAGTAAAAAACTAGGCATCGAAAAGTTAAAAAGAAAAAAAATATGAAAAAGTCAAGAGTTGTGTTTTGTAATTTTTTTCGAGGTTAATTGAAAATTGAACGAGGGATCAAATATGGAAAGCACTAATGAATAGTCATACAAATCTATATAGTCAGAAACCTAATTTAGGATGTGTAACATAGACACATAGTCGAGGGGTCAGGAGTGTAAAAAATTCAAAATAAAACAATTGCGAATATTTGAGGTAGAAAAGTAAATATCTTTAAAATACAGGGACTCCTTCGCAATTTCTTCCTTGCGGATGATCAACGGTTAAAAGGTAGCATATACGGTAAACCCCCACGCCGGCGCCGTTCCGTATTCGTTCCCGCCTTGATTTATTGACCTTTGCAGAACCGGAAACGACGGTGAACCATTGAAGCCGCCGTCTCCCGGAGTCGGAGCAGATAGACAGGAGCGATGTGCGGTCGAACACGGTGTACTCTCCGAGTAGATGATTTTCCACGCGCCTGCCACCTCTCCGGCCGCCGCATCCGTCATCTCAACACGGACCGGTAAGTCGGTAACCACTTTTTAAAGTTCCTCGAAGTAGTTAATTCGTTTTAGCTCAACTGATTGAACTATTTTGCTAAGACTTCTGAGCTACTCCGTATTTGAGTATTTTTACACGAATGTAGGATTAGTATTTTAGTTTTCGAGAAGGAAAATGGAAATACTTAATGAAATTGTAGGTACCGGCCGTCGTATAATGTTTCGCCGGGGTTCAATGTTCCGGTGGTTCGGAACGAAGACGATCCCAATCACGACGGTGCTGTTATTCACTCCATGAAATGGGGGCTAATTCCCAGTTTCACTAAGAAGAACGAAAAGCCAGACCACTACAAAATGGTAGTATTTTCATTTTTCATACTATATAGTACTTACAGCTTCTACATTTGCTATGGTTATGAAGTATGAATAGGGCATTTGATTGAAATTGCTAACATATTGAGTGCCTAAAATTTTGGTGTGACAAACTTCTGATATGTAGTTCAATGCTCGATCTGAATCGATAAAGGAGAAGGCTTCTTTTCGCCGTCTTCTCCCGAAAAATAGATGCCTGGTTGCAGTTGAGGGGTAAGCACATTCTCTTTTAGTTCATATAAATGCATTGATAGAAGCTTGCTGGACTGACTTGATCAATATTAGCAGTAATTTAGTATATATGGTTATTATGCTCAGATTTTATGAATGGAAAAAGGCTGGATCGAAAAAACAACCTTATTATATACATTTTAAGGATGGTCGCCCTCTTGTCTTTGCTGCTCTTTTTGATTCCTGGAAGACTGCAGAAGGTGAATCACCGTATTCTTTCATTACACTGTGGAGTAGTATTGTGCAATCATTTTTGATTTTCACCAATGCTGCAAGAAACTATTGTTTCAGATTTCAATTGTATCCAAGCATTCTATATTCTCGTTTTGGCTATAGAAAACATCCGACCGTTACTATGTAAGCTTTTTGTCTGTCATTCATGCAGGAGAAATTCTTTACACGTTCACTATTGTGACAACTTCATCATCATCAGCTTTGGGATGGCTCCATGGTTAGTATCTTTATTTTTTATAATTTGTCTTGAGATCATGTTTAGTGTTATCATTTTATTAATCTGGGCTTTTTCTGGTAGATTTCATTCATCATGGGTTTTAGTTAAATCATGATTACCATAAAAGGCTAAAAGCATGCAGTTGCTGTTGTTGGACTATAAAACCGCCACACCAATCTTTAAACCCCTAAAAAGACAGCAGGGTGGAATGAACACAGAACACGTATTGTAGAATACAAATTGCTATGATTTGCCTTTCTCTAAATATATGGATGTGGATATTTTAGACAGGATGCCTGTGATCTTTGGCAACAAGGAGTCGTCTGACTTGTGGCTAAATGGTTCTCCATCGTTCAATTTTGATACGATACTAAAACCATACGAAGAGTTAGATCTGGTAAGAGCTCTCAACGATGAACCTCATCTCCTTATGAGCTTCTACGCTACATGAATATCGAACGAGGAGTAGTATGCTAAATGAATCTCTGCCCCCTTGTTAAAAGCTCGAACCTTTATCGCAGGTTTGGTATCCTGTGACACCTGAAATGGGCAAATCTTCATTTGATGGACTTGAATGCATTAAGGAGGTATTGATCTGCATTATATATGGCTAAGTTGAATGTTCTTGGTTTACTTTGATGTAAATCTACCATCATGAACCTCTCTAGTAACAACCAGATTGCACTGGTTACAATATTGTTAATAACTGCAGATAAAACTCAAGCCCGATGAGACCAAATCAATCTCGCAATTTTTCTCCAAAAAGGTAGATAAAGGCAGACAAGAGGCGACTCATGGCCAAGTCAAAAATGAAGAGCCTGCAAACACTGATCAGCAACAAAGCATGAAAGAAGAACCCGAGACGCAAAACCATCATCACACGAACCCAGATGTCGCCACTGCAGATCCAATAAGGGTGATTGGTTGTGACCAGAAGAACTTGAAAGAGGAGGGTGAAAGTTTGATGAACAAAAACGATGATGTCTCTACTCTTCAAAGGCAGGAAACCATTATTAAACCAAAGAGAGGCCACGGGGAGCTTTCGGATGATAACAATCCATCCACTGGTAGGAGTTACAGGCATATCACCCCACCTAAAAAGAAAGGCACAAATGCCAGTGACAAGCAGCCTACAATCTTTTCTTACTTTGGAAGAAGCTAGTATTGATTTTGTTTCTATGCTTTATCTACATGTATATTGGGATGTATGGATGAAACTAAGTGTATGTTTTTGTAGAAGAAACAACTGAAACTCTGTTGAATTTTGGGTGGTAAGGTAGCTATCTATTTAACCATTCTCGATTCCAACCTGAACACATTTACAATTACTTTTGGCTAAATGAGTATTTTTCCAACCGTTAACATATTCTGTACCTACAATTAATAATTTATGTGTCTGTAATTATCATAGAAACGGTTAACTGACAAGTACATAACGTGTACAGAATATTTCAAACTGTAGGTACAGAATCTAAAAGTTATTTTTAAATCATGATTCACAATGCAAAATAAACTCTGATTCATCGTATAATTTGCCACTTGAATCTGTCATAAAACCCATTTATATTATCTACAGTATTATAGTTTTATGGGCCTAGGCATTTCTAGACTTCTAGTCACTATGTCTCTGGCCGGCTTCAGGCCTCTAGATTATATTAATACAACTCGAGCCTATGAGCTCTTTCATGACAAAATAAATAAATAAACCAAATATTACAATGATATGATGGAACAATTCTATTTGAATTGCTTACATAATTGACTTGATAATCCAAAATTTTAAATTCAATTCTTTATGGTTAACCAAATAATTAATGTATTCATAACACAGACAACCGTAGTTTTTTTTTTTTTTTTACTAAATATATTTCATATTAGACATGCATCAACTAGTTTAATAGTGCCTCAAGTTAAAAGCTTATCTAATAAATGGACTTATTTACAAACCCTTAATATTGTAATATTTATCACCAATTACATTATTCAAGACGAGATTAATTCTGTTCATCATCTCCTCAGTCCTATTACATAGGTCATTACCACTCTTGAGTAATTTACAAGTTATTACACAGGAGTATGATTTACCCAATGCACACTATCAGATACTATATCTGACAACAGATAAAAAAAAAAGATAATATTTGTGCATGTTGCATTTTGCAAGAATAGAAAGTTGTCATGAACCCGAACTTGGTGGTTCAATTCAGTAGGCAGTATTTGGAAGAAGAATAATGAAACTTCAACACAAAGGAAAAAGGTTTGGACGCAAAAACGGCAAAGACCAATAATACGCCTCCACGAGACGGCCGTTAGCCACCATCTGCATGACAATCTTCTTCAACAACCGGAAAGGGCAGGCCACGACGCCCCAATGCACGGCGGTGCGCGAGCCCAGGCAGAACCCCCGCCGCTTCCCCAGCCGTATCGCGCTTCCTTTCCTCCTCCGCATCACCCGCCGCCCCCGCGGCCGGCACCACCCCATCATCACGGTGGAGTTGGGCAAGAACGAGACTGTCACACCAGATCGCTTCAGCATGGCAAACTCAACTTGCTGTCAATGAAATGGATTGATCAAGGTATATATATATAGAGAGAGAGAGGGTAGTATAGTGTCGGTTTGATGGATGGTGAAGCTAAGTTAAGGATAATGATGGAGGTCATAATGAGAGTAATTATTGCTATGAATATGTTTATGCAGTGATGATGGAGATGCCTGCATTAATTAATATATATGTAAAGCAAGGAATTTTATCTTTTTTTCTCACATCTTTAGGGTTGTGGGTATCATGATTAGTAGGGATAGGCATTAGCCAATTTGTGATTATAATTCTAATTATCATCATTTAGGCATATCATATTATGTTCATAGCTAGCTAGGTTTTTATATTTATAATCTAGGAGAATAATATATGCTATGGAAAAGGAAAACGATATATATATTTCTGTGTTCTAAGTTGGCCACCCTTGGTTCTTTAATTATCAAAATTTAACTAGTTATGGTCCTCTACAATGGTGGTTAAAATTTAATAGTTGAAGGACCATTGACAGTTAATTTTGGACCATGAAAGGTAACAATTTGAAAGTCGAAGGATTATTGGTGATCAAATTAAAAGTTTAGAACTAAATATGGTAAAACTACTATCATCAATACTATCAGAGAGATGATATTAACTCATTTCTAATGGTTAGAAATTTAGCGATCCAACAATGACATGAGTGAAGAGTATATTCCAACATGAGGGGTTTCAAAAAAGAAATTAGAGACCATCTTGCAATATATGTATAGTATGATAAACCTATACAATTAATGTTATAAACCCATGATTTAAAAGAAAAACATATTTTTAATATAACAATTTGGGTAAGTAAGTGGGATGCTAATGTAACTACAATGTAAGATAATTGACTCTTTTATGTCTGCAACAAGTTAGGTACATTTCTCTAAATAAAAATCAAACTCTGAGAATAGACGCGGTTCAATTCAAATCTAAATTAATCTTACAATGATAAAGGTATAAGATGCCAATTTTTTTTAATAATTTAGTTAAGCTTGAATAAACAAATAAAATCGTGCAATTATATATGGGAGCTTGGTTGCAAATCTTTCTCAACTTTTCTTAAGACGATGACAATTAATTACACCCATTATATACGCATTACCAAACTTCACCTGTAGAATATTTAATTTTGGTGAAAGTATTAATTTATGATTAAATAAATACTTTATTTGGTTTTTTTTTTTTTAAATCATATTAACTTGATGGATATATTAAGAATGAGTCTGGAGTGAACCGACTTGAGGAAGTGGGCCAAGTCAATCCGGGTCGACCCATAGTTGGCCTCGAAACTCCAAAGTCGATCGTCTTGGTTAGCCCTAGGGCCTCAAGGTCGACCTCAGGTGGTCGACCCAGGGCACCCAAGGCCAGCCTTGTAGTCGGTCTCAGTGGTCGGCCTCGGTCACCCAAGGCCAGCCTCGAGGCCAGATACGAGCAAGATGACCAAGACTCGATGAAAGGAGACTGTAACCATCCACCCATTTCGCATGGGATGGGGTGGTTACGGAAAAAACTACTTTTAGTATAAATTATTCAATTTGTCTTGTTATTACATCATCTTGTAATCTTCTTACAAATCTTAATTAATACAAGACATATTGGGCCTGTTTACTAATGAAAATTTTCTCATGTTTTCTGAAAAATTAGAGAATTGGATAACAGAAAACATGTTTACTAGCACAATTTTCCATTTTAAATAATTTTCTAGAAAACATGAACACAACACTCTTAAAAATTGTTTTCTGTCTATATTACAATGGAGTATCTGTTCATATATACTTTCTCAACCTACTGAAACACAAAAAAACAATAATGCCTCCACTGAGGCTCAAACTCACAATCTTCCAAATGGAAGTCCAACCCATAGTCTTGGTCTCTCTTTTCTACTTAATTACTTATTTAAACATAACTTATTTGCTTACATTTAAAGTTAGACAATATTCACATTATCAAAATTAATAATTGAACTCTATACAATGATTTAGATTTGATTGAACTCAATAGATTATTAGCTCAGATATTTTTTGTTATGTTATATTGTATACAAGTTCGGTCCGGATATCAAATATTGAAATCTCACATATATATTTATATACATGTCATTCAAATAAATATATTCGAAAATATTTTAAATATTAGCTCAAAAAATATTAATATTATCTAAACTAAACTTTAGGTGAACTTAGTAGGTATTGGTTCGGATATATTTAGAGTAAAAGACATTTTTTATCCTAGACTTATAGTGGTACGGATAATTTTAGTCCTCCATAAAAAAAGCAGACAATTTGTGGACACTCTTATTGTGACGAGGACAATTTTGGTCCTCCGTCTGCATTCCCGTTAGATGGTCGTTTGAGATGAGGGTATTTGTGTCATTTCATGCTATATCCTCCTAATGGCCACTGTCTTTTGAGTGTTATGTGTTGTCCCTATAATCCGATGAATGGCCATTAATGGGTGTATTTTAATGATGAATATATAGGATAGTCTTGTTAAATTTTTGAGGGTTATCTGGGCGGAGATGGTGGAGCCGCAACTGGGTGGAGATGGCAGAGGCGCAACTGCTCTTTGACTTCTCAAATTGCCTTCGCACAGGCCGCCGCTTCCCAAATCGTCGTTTCCGGTTTCCACGCCCTTCGCGATCTCCCCAAGCGCCGTCTCCACTCTATCATCGAACCTTGACTCGCTCGCCTGGGTCGACCTGCAGAGCTTGTAGAGCAGCTCGGTGGGGCTGACTTGCCTGAACCTGAACACCTCGTACCTGATGTAACACCCGACTAGTTGGACTCTACCGCGATCGAGTCGCCGCATAGGTTCTAGAACAAGTCTATGGTTTTCTGCATGCAATCGTTACAATCGAAGGCGGAGAGGTCGCCCCGGCATTGGAATAGCCCGACGATGCTCAATTGGCCGGTGCCGGCGACGGTTTTGTAGAACTTAGCGGCGGACGATTGGGACACCAGAGTCTCAAACAGGGTCTCCAGATTTTGAGAGAAAACCCTAGTTCCATCCTGGGATTTCTGGTTTGCACACCCTTTGAACACAAATTCCTTGTAATCCGAACAGAATCCACCAACAACAAATGAACCAAAAATAAAAAACACCAGAGAAAATGGGGAGAGAATGCGAGACTGACCCATTTCAATCCTCTGATATTACTCTAAACATCACAGTGTTGGAATGCGATTTCACGGTGGTTCACGAAGGGGCCGACGAGGCTCGACAAATCCCTCTTCGTCGTCTCACTGTCCTTGGAAACCACGCCAGCAAAGGCACATGCGACGGAGAAGGTCGCAGCCGCCGTCAGCATTGCCAGGACTAACATCGCATTTTTGACCTATTTGAAGAGAAGGAGATAGCATGAAATGACACAAATACCCTCCTCTCAAACTGCCATCTAACGGGAATGTAGACGGAGGACCAAAATTGTCCTCGTCACAATAAAAGTGATCCACAAATTGTCTGATTTTTTTTATGGAGGACTAAAATTGTCCGTGCCACTATAAGTCTAGGACCAAAAATGTCTTTTACTCTATTTTTTAGTTATTATGTTATCAAATGTAAAAATCTTACATATATTAGACTTAAAAGTAAAAAAAAAAAAAAATTATTCCATTTAAACGAAATATATGTAAAAACATTTTAAATATAAGATCTAAAAAACACTCGAAATTAAACTTGTGTTAATTTTATAATATTAATTTTAAAAAAATAAAAAATATGTGTTAGTAAATAAGTTTTCTAAATGAAAATCAGAAA